GGTTTTTAAAAAATTTGTCATAAGCTTTTTTGTATGTTGCATACTCAGTCATGTATAATGGCTGCTTCTAATTAATCAAGCAGCTGGACTATACTTGACCTTGCCCTGTAATTTGTTCCTCTGCTATAAATAGCATGTGGCTGGATGTTTGCCTATAACTAGAATTAGTAATAGATTCCCAGAGACAGAATTCCTAGGTCAATGAAAATAAATAAACAATGCATTGTTGATGCTCAGAGGCACACACTTTTAAAAAGAGAGTGAAGCCCATATAACATCCTTCTGCCAGTAGACACCTCTATTTCTAGATGCTAAATCTAGGGTCAAAGCTAAATTAAAATTAGTTGACAAAACTACAAACCTGGAAATCTACAAAGGGACAGTGTTTTTGGTTTTAGCAAGGACATTGAATAGGACACTTCTTATATTGCCAACAGGGTGTGTGACATTTGGCCTTGCTACGAAGCCCCCAGTTTATCTCCTGTGCCATTTAGGATGCTGTGGGTGTGTGGACTCCACAGTCCAGAAGCAAAGCTGGAGAATATCTGTGTGTCCAGCTCTGAAGGAAGTGCTGTATGAAAGTTGTTTTGATAGGCACTGGCTGCCTCCCCCCTAGTTACTGGCATTAATTTTCTACTCACTTTTTTGATGAGGAAATTGGTGGGTAGGTGAGTGAGATGAAGTGGATCTGAGATGATAATTCTGCTTAGGATACAGAACCTTTTTCTTCCTTTCTTTAACTTTACCTTTTGGCTTTTGTGTAAATTAAATTTTAAGTATATACCTATCTAAGCCTCTCCTTCCCCTCACTGAGTCCATGCTCCAAAGTTTTGCTGGTTTTTATGTGGCTACTACTGAAGATTCTTTCTCATGCCCTGTCCTGTCAGCTGCTTATACTCTGCTTCCAGAGGAGACCAGTAATAAATGTGATCAATTAAGCCCCATTAAGTGGGCCCTTGTTCTATAATATACATGATATGTTAGTCTCAACCCCCTGATGGATTTTGCATTTCTTCAGAATCCTTTTAAATGTGATGTTTTCAGCCAGATATTCTTAAAGTTTGGTGCACAGATCCCTAGGGATCCTCAAGACCCTGCGGCAGGTCTATCAGGTTGAAGCTATTTCATTGTAATGCTAAGATGCTATTTGCTTTTTAGATTCTTTTTCCATTTGAATTGATGGTGCAAAAGCAATAATGATTAAAATTGCTGGAGCTTTATTACAAGTCCAGGCAGCAGCACTAAACTGTCCTGGTAATCATTGTATTCACTAATAGGTACTCACAGCTTAAAAAGAAAAGTCAGTTTCACTTAAGGCTATCCTTAATGAAACAGTAAAAATTAATTTGGATACATCTCGACCCTCGTTATATATCTTTTTAATATTCTGTGTGACAAAACAAGAAGTATGCATAAAGAACTCCTATTTCATACTGGGGTAAGATGTGTGATTAAGTTCTGAGCCGAGCTAGCAGTTTTTTTCAGGGAGTATCATTTTTACTTGAAAGAACGATTGACAAACGAGGCTTATTCAGACTTATATATTTGGCAGATATTTTCTCAAAAATGAACAAAGTAAACCTGTCACTTCAAGGAATACAACTGAAAGCATTTGTTGCCAATAATGAAATAGGAGATTTCAGGCAAAAATTAGATTTTAGAAAACATGTATATGCCATCATGAGCTTGGTGGTTATCAATTCTTCGACTTTTCTGATGAGATTGATGGTGATGTAAACAAATATGATTTTTTAAATATTGTATGTGGTATTGTGATATATAAGATATATATACCTACACACACACACACACACACACACACACACACACACACACCACTATTTCCAGGTAGATAGTGTCAAGATAAATTGTAGGATACCCAGCTGGTGTCCACTGGAGAATTTCTTGGCATGTGGGGAAACCCTCCACACATCTGGTATCAGAAATATTGGGTGACTGAGTACAGAAAAAACTTTTCTGCTTTACATTGTATAATGAAATGTGTCAACATTTGGAAGAGCTGCATAATTCAGTGAATACCTACCTTTTCGAATCACCCCTAGCATTATATTACAAAATCGTGTGGTAAATGATCCATTCAAAGTTTAAGATAGACCAGTGAATTTTAATGTAACAGGGTAAAAAAATTCATTGATATGATTTGCTTATGTATTGCAACTAACCCTTAAGAAACTTCTAGTTGTTGAGTTTTGGTGTAATATCAAATGATGGTCACAAGTATCTGAAAAGACTATGAAAATATATTTCCCTCACCGAACAATATATTGTGAATAGATTGAATTCAGGAGCAGAAGTGAGACTCTACCTGTCTTTTAGTAAGCCAGAGATTTCTTTTAAAAAGTAGAGTAATGTCATTCTTCTCACTAACTTTTTTGTTTTTGGAAAACAAAGGGTATTTTTTTCTACCTAAAAATCTAATATTTATATTAACGTGTTGGTATATCATTGTCGTTTATTTTTTTATTTTATTTTTTTAATTTCAGCATATTATAGGGGTACAGATGTCTAGGTTACGATGTTGCCCTTGTCCCCCCTCCCCCCCAAGTCCGAGTTTCAAGCATGCCCATCTCTCAGATGGTGCACATTGCACTCTTTGTGTATGCATATACCTGTCCCCTCCTCCCATCTACCCTCTCCCCGCTACCCGACATCCAATAAGTGTTATACGTGCACTTATGTGTTGGTCAGTTAATACCAATTTGATGGTGAGTACATGTGGTGCTTGT